CTAGGGCTGGAGCTAGGGTCTCAGCTCCCTCAACCCTGAAACTCTGCTACAAGTTGATTTCAAAGTTTACCAATCAAAGGAAAATTGGGGGTGGAGAAGGGCAGTGCCTTTTTTTTAAATTACCAAAAATCAGAGAATTACCCAATTTAAATGAAAATTTCAGTACATATTCATTAATTATTTACTTTTATTGCTTTGAATATACGCTCCTTTAAGCTTAGAGGGCGTCATCAGTGATGTTCTAGAAAAGGATCATTGGACAGTTTCGGGTCTTTCAAACATCATACTGACCTCACCAAATCGACCCTTTCAGAGCTGATCAGACTCTGAAACGCCCTCTAAGAATAATGCTTGTTTGTGCTGACTTTTATAAGAATACCCGTAATCTCACATTTGATTGGAGATTGACCAACAACCAATCACAACGGTGCGAGATCTATTTAAGCCGTTCACGGTAATTTTTACTTTCCTTTTTTTTGGTGGACACCCCCTCATCGGATGCTTAGAAGGTAATTATGATTTTCCGTTGTTTACCCACTTCCCCTCACGTTTATAATGATAGGCTTTTTTTATTTTAAAAAATCTGAGAAAATGTTATTTTTTTTATAATAACCACTAATATTTTCATGACTAAATTTTACTCAAAAATAAATGTTTAAGTCACAAATTTTTACATTTCCACAGTCACCGACACATCTCTACTGAAAAAAAAAATTTTTACAAAAATTCCAACAGATTTGTTTTAAAAACAGTATTTCAGTTTTCGTAAAAATTTTTCATGCATTGAAATCTTTAGACATTTTTATTTTTTTAAGCGATCATTTTCTCAGTTTTATCTTTCTAGAAATATAAAGAAACAATGACCAGAAATTTTATTTAAAACATTTTCTTGGTTTTATCTTTCTAGAAAAATAGGCTCTAGAAATTTCAGTTGGGGGTTTCGTGGGTAAGAAGTGCTGGCCCTGTTTTGGTTGAATAAATCTGTTTTGTATATTTACTGAACTCATTTTCTATCTGTATGCAGAAACTTCCAAAACTAAGCAAAGTATTAAGAAACATGAAAATTTTATTAGAAACATAGAAAAGAGTACTGAACTGTTATGTAATATCAGTCCTCCTGTATGGCATTGAATGCTGGAGAATCTCCTCAAAGATGAAGAGGAGTCTTGAGGCAACAATGATGTGTTGAAATTCCTGGAATACATAATGAGGAAAGAAGGCTTGGAAAAATTGAGACTCACAGGACATTGAGGGTAAGTAGGGAAGCAAGTAACCTACCTAACAAGCTTGTGTAAATGGATATCAAAACAGGGAGGGGAAGAGATAGTTAAAAGAGAAGCATTGCTAACAATTATGATGGATAGAATGTTGTGGAGAGCCATGATCTTTCATGTCCCTTCATGACATGACACATAGAAGAAAAAAAAGAAGGCACACAGAGGATATATTAAAGACAATAAGGACAGATGGAAATTTATCTAATGACATGGCAGATGGTAAGCTTCCTAACAAGCTTACATAGGATAGTAAGTTGTGGAGAGCTATGATGAACCTATTCAACAAGCTTGTGTAAGTATATAACTGACCAGGGACTGGAAAGGATAGTTAGGGGAAAAACAATGGTTAGAGTCACATAGGATAGGAAATTGTGGAGAGCCATGAACAACCTACTTAGTGAACTTAAATGGATAGCAGACCAGGGACTGGAAGAGTTTGTTAGGAGACAAATATTGGTTAGAGTTACATAGGATAGGAAGTTGTGGAGAACCATGATTTACCTACTTAACAAGCTTGTGTAAATGGAAAACAAGCCAGGGACTGTAAAGGATAGTTAGGAGAGAAACAGTTGTTAGAGTTACATAGGATAGGAAGTTTTGGAGAGCCATGATCATAGTTAACAAATTTATGTAAATGAATAGCAGACCAGGGACTGGAAAGGGTAGTTAAGGGACAAACAATGGTTAGAGTTATGTAGGATAGGAACTTGTGGAGAGTCATGATCAAGCTACTTAAGAAGCTTGATTAAGTGGATGGCAGAACTGTGACTGGAAAGGATAGTTAAAAGACAAACATTGCATAGAACTATAAAGAATATGATGTTGTGGAGAGTCCCAATTGCTGAGATAAGACATAAGTGTCACACTAAATCTCTGAGGAGGCACCTGGGTCATTCCTTCCTTTTAGCAACTGTGGTTAGTACATTTATGTATTTGTAAAATCTTAAAACTAAATTGTCATGATTAACATTATTTTTTGTCAGTTTCCATTTGTATAAAAGCTTATGACTGATGATTCCAACTTAGACAGACACTGCCACAAGTTAGACAAATGAGTTTCACTTCCTTTTGCTACAAGGAAGTAAGGCAACTGGAATGTTATGTGATGTCTATTTCTTCTAGATATTCACTTGTCTTATTAGAATATCCATAGTTTAAAAGCAGTAATACTACCATTATGTAATATCTGTTTCTGTGATTTTTACCATGTTATTCTTGAAACAATATGCTTGCACTAATTTTCAGGGCAAAATTATGAGTAAGCATTTGAATTTAATTCAATGATTTAATTACATAATTCACATTTAATGCTAGTTTAGTATAAGTTTGTTGACTGCACTGTATAGTAGGGTCACCATCTATGAGAAAAAGAGCGTCATGATGCAATACACTCCAACAGAAATTTGGAAAGGGCTTGCTGTACAGCTTGGGATTTAATACACACATTTGGGTATCAATCTGAGGACAGTGCAGAGAATTCAGAAAAGGTGGATTAGTCTAATGGTGATTTTGAAGGTAAGGCTGCTCAGAAAACTCACTCTGATAAGAACTCTTGAATTTGTTCATGAGGGACTCAGACTCGATACAGATGCCTACAAAAAGGCCTTGAGAAGGTAGTGTTTCTCTGGGTCAAGAAGCTGGCTGCTGGAAGACCCTATGTCAGGTAACAGGACTCTGCAGTATTCAGTACAAGCAGGAGAACCCAGTTATGGCAATCAGACACACGCCACACTATACACGACCACATCACCCCTTACATCCTTCCACATAACTCCCCAGACTCCAACCCCCTTGATTATTATGTGAGGTGCATTTGAGTGAGAGACTAACAAAACTCCTTCTAATATCAAAGATGAACTGAAGTCAAGGATTATGGCAGCATTTATCAACTTAAACAAGGAGAGCATCCAGAAGAGATGTAAGAGATTCTGAAGTTGTATGGCGACTTTGGTTGAAGCCAATGGTGATTTTATTGAATAAATTTACTCTTTAGTATTTCAAGATATTTTTCTATAATTTTGGTAAATATACCTGTTAAAATGAAATATCAGTGTTATTTTCATTTTTGCATAATTTAGATGACAATTTATCCATCGCACCCTGTGTGTGTATGTGTGTGTGTATATATATATATATATATATATATATAGAGAGAGAGAGAGAGAGAGATACATACATACATACATACATGCACATAATTCTGTTATTTCACCCCTAACTGGATTTATACCTTTCCTCAGGATATTTGTGTGAAAGTGAATTCAGCAGGCCTGGCTTGAATTTGAAGTTGGCTTGACAGTTTCATTTTCCATGCTGATAACCATTTTGTTGTGGTATATTCAGCTGGAATGATACTCCAACTGAAATCAGACATTGATCTGTTACTCGGGGAAAAACGAAATCATTTACTAAGGAAAGACACACAGGTCTCATATGCTTCAAGAAAAACTAGATGCTTATATAAAGATTGAAGTGAAAAACCAAATAAAAAAAAAACTTAGGAGAATTTACATTTATGTGACTGAATACAGGGCTGTATACAGAATATTCCATAAAATTTAAGATATTTTTAAAATAATGTGTATACATTTTGCTTATTAGAATACATTTTTTTTAAATATTTGAAGTTATCACACTAAATAGCATTTCCTAACAGCCTAAAACACACATGCATATATATATTCTATATGCAGAATCCATTATCTGTGTTGACAGTCTGTCTTACTCATATATATATATATATATATATATATATATATATATATTATAAATTAATTGATTTAAAATGTTTTTTTATGCTACACAGTTCTAACCATGTTTCAAAAATGGAAGCTAAAATCAATTAATTTATAATATTAATGCTCTGTAAATTTACATTGAGCACTATTTTGTAAAAATAAAAATCTCTATAAGAACACCAGATTATATATCTTACTGTTCTTTCTTTTATATATATATATATATATATATATATATATATATATATACCACAGCATTCTTTAACTACAGAAAGAAGAAATAATAAATTATAAAAAAAGATTCTGAGGAGACTAAATTTACTAACTTTCATCTCAAGATAGAGTTTTGTGATAAAAAAATAAAATAATAATAGTGAAAATGCTTCATCTAAAAAAAGCAACAAAATTAAAATGCAGTAAAACAATTTACAGTATTTACATTGTTTGGACTGTTGTCCTCATCTTTATTGTCATATTCTGGCCGTTCTACTTTCAGCCTTCTTCAGGTGATATACCCTGTAGTGAATTCTCATTGCAGTAAATAACCTTGTGAAATAATGGTATTTTTCTGCAACCTGGAAATTATCCTAAATGCTACAAAAAAAGAAATCAATTTTTACAAAATGTTGCCAGAATTTTCCATTTAAAATAGCAGGACTCTTTCCAGCATTTCTTGGGAAATTCATTCTAAAATCAACATACTAATTTTATGCTTCTAAGTTAACTTTTAGCACTCTGTATGTGGCTTCATTTGCTGTACAAAAAGTTTATCCTGCCACTGAATATGACTTTGATCCCTGAACAATAGTGTGTTTGAAGTTCATAGTTGTGTTATCATATCCTTCTATGGCAACAGAAAAGACCTTGACTGAAATTAACAATAAGGATAATGCAACTGAGAGGCCCTGAAAAAAATTGCAGTGGAAAGGGCAGTAATATCTAACCTATTTTTTAGATTGTACAATTGTGGAATCTTCCATAGATTATGACTCTCTCAAGTGACTCTCAACAGTATGTTCCTACTACCAGTTTCTTAATTTTGGGAGATTACACAACCTTTTTACCTCTGACTTATTAATAGTAAAAGCAAACAAGACAAAAAAAATGAACATTATGGAAATATTTTAAGATATAATTTCAGAACATTGGATATATATATTTTGGCCATTGATGGTGGTAGGACATTTATCTATTGTGGGGGTATTTGTTGCTGTTGGCACCCGTTCACATCTGGATCATCATCCTCTCTCCCTATTCTTTTTCTCTCCCCTGGTTGCAGTGACAGAGATGGCTGGAGTTTGACAAGGCCATTCAATTTGATTTTGGTGAACATCTCTGCATGACGGAGAAGCCCACACACTTGGCCAGAAGTGATCCCCTTGCAGCTTGAAGTGGATTGAGACAGGTGAGATCTGGCAAACTGGGTTGTCAGATGGTGGGTAATTGAATGACAAAATAGGAAATTCTCGTGACACTTTTCATCTGACAAAAGGACTTCTTTTAGGGTGGAAAAATAGGTTAGAAGTTTAACATTTTTATTATCGATGGAATCATATATATGCAGTGGAAACAAATGAAATACAAACATTGGTTATATTTTATACATTGAGAGAAATGTTGAAATGCAGAGATGTGTAACTTTAAATTTCTGGCATCCGGTATACGTAGATATACAAACTAGCTGGCCTCTGTCATTTTCTTACTGCTTTTGTTTTTATTTCTATCGCTGTTGTTTTCAAATATCCCACCTTGTAATCACAATAGTTTTGTTAAGAAAGGTAATATGCTGTATGAAACTGGATGCAAATTTACTGTGGAAAGCTTGGAAGTTAATGCACTTTCTATACGTTTTTGCCTTAATAAATTATTCTATCTTTTGAGACTGCATATATTTATATTGTAATGCAGGCAAGACTTCATGGAAATATTTTCAATATGGGGCATTAAAAAATTTCAAATAATTTTAAATATTTTCAATATTCAAAAGCAATATGCTGTATGACCTATGAAGTAAATTTACTGTGGAAAGCTTGGAAGTTAGTACACTTTCTATACATTTTTGCCTTAAATTATTTTATTTTTTGAAACTGCATACTCTATTTATAGTGTAATGTTGGCAAAACTTTATGGAAATATTTTCAGTTTTATTAAAGCCTTTTAATTAAAAACATTGATGGACATTTATTTTTAGTTTTATTTCTTTCAAGGTCATGTTATAGTTTGAAAGGCTTGTTTTTAATCTGTTCCCAAGAGCCCAATTTAGTGAAGTTTCCCTGTTAGATTTGTAATTTTTTTCAACCACTCCCTCATATTTATTAAAATCATCCTTTTCAGTATATTCTCTGTTTTTTTTTTCTTTCTTGCCATTTATTATGACCCCTTCCTTTTAATTAGCACTGAACAGTGTCCATTTCATTTCTATTTCTATTTGGATGTTCTTTTATTTTTCTTTATTTTATATTTTTCATAATTTTTTTTTCATTTCATACTTATATATTAATAAAAAAGAAAAAGGCAAAACTCAATAACATCAGCTATGAACATGGTCACAATGTACTGATCATATTTAGAAAATAAAACATTCCTATAACTCTAGATACATACATAAAAAAAAATCCATACATTCAGTTAAAAGTAAAATGATACTTGATAATGGGTAAAAGTGTAGCCAAAAATGCTCAGAAAATACAGAACATTCAGACAATTTCTACATAATTTATGTCCAGAAAAGAAAAAATTTATAAGAACACAAGAAAAAATTAACCCTATTTACATTATTCGAACTATTGTCCTCATCTTTGTCGCCATATTTATTACAACGTTTCGGTTGTTGTACACTCTGGCCTTCTTCAGGTGGTTGGAATGTCGAACTGAACCCTTTATTTCACTCACGGGGGTAGACTGTTCTAGTTCCACGGGCCATGTTTTAATGGATGTCAGTTATCAGTTATTTCCTGTTAATTCCTCTCTCCAAGTTCTCCACTTCCTTAACTGGGTATTGAACTCACACTCTTTGAGTCCTGTCACTGGATCTAACCTACACATTTATCCACTGTGCCATGTGTCCTTGAGGACATTGGTGACAAAGATGAGGACAATAGTCTGAATAATGTAAATAGCGTACATAATAGCTCATCTCAAAAATATAGACAGATACTGAAGAAAAATTAAATAAAAAAAATTAACAGGAAAATGTAGGAGACGCATTTGTGGTGTTAAAACATGATTGTAATCATGTAGCAATTTTTAACATGTTTTTTTAATATCCTAAAATAAATAATAAATATTTAGCTCTACTCTGTATTGAGCCCTCTCTTAAATTAAATGTTACATACATTGAAATTATACTCCATTTGGTCTCATTTTACCTGGATTAGTAAAGATACCCTACCTAAACAAACCCAGTGTAAGTTATAAAAAGGACATGTTAATTAAAGAATGTATATAGATATTGAATCATAAGTTATATACCAGCAAAGTTATAGAGCTTATAAATAAATATTTAAATATCTATCAACATAATGAACAAACCAGAAAAAATACAAGACAAATTAAACTAACGAGACATATGAGTGCATTTAATGGCCTTGATATAATGTTACCTGAAATAATGAATAATTAAAGATACAGCTCTACTGACATGTAAATATTAACATTGCCAGACCATAAGATGCTGATTTCATCAGACAGCTTGAATATATTTATGGGGGTCCTCGAAAATACAAGGCCCATCGTATTTACTACTTTTGCTACTCGGTTAAGTCACAACCGTAGACTTTATCCTGCAAACAAATATTTTATGTATATAAAGAAGTATATATATCAATAATAAGTATATATATATATATATATATATATATATATATATATATATATATATATATATATCTATATCTATCTATCTGTGTGTGTATATATATATATATATCCCAATGTGTGTGGCACCTTTGGAAAGTGCCTGAAAAACCACACCATGGGTTGACCCCAGCCTTGTGAGTGAAATTGGGTAGACAAAACTCTTGAGGGTCGTCAATAGCTTTAAGTCATCATAGCTGAAGGCTTGAGCATGCTGACCTTGTTCAAATTGTTAATCATGCTAGATAACACACTCTCTCCCAGAAACTGTAACTAAGATCTGCTCAGCATAGTTGCAGTATAAGCTACAGATGGGATCTGTGGGTGTTGAGCAAATACAAATGTGTCTGAGCGAGTGTCTGCAATAGGGATTGGCTAGCTGCCCTAATAGACTGGTATTCATGAATACGAGTGACCAACTATTAAATATATATATATACATATATATATGCATGTGTATGTGTATGTATATAGTATATATGTATACATATGTAGTATATCTATCTATCTGTATCTATCTATCTATCTATCTATCTATCTATCTATATATATATATATATCCAAATGTAAAAGAACAAAGAGTAAGATTTCAGCATTCAAAACATTAATTTAAAACAGGGCTCAATACAAAAGTAGAGCCGTATATATTTATTTATTATGCAGTGTTACATTAGAACATGTATATACCTACTAGAAAACTGTACATCTTGTTTCAACTTTTAAATTTTTTTTTAAAATTTCATCAGGTAGGAAATCACGATGCTAGCATGCTGTACATGTTGTAATGTAACCCTGCATTATATATATATATATATATATATATATATATATATATATATATATATATATATATTATATATAAAGGAAAAAGGTTACAGTAGTTCCAACAAGAGAAAATTGTGCATATTAAAAAGAAGAGAGAAACCGAAAACGTTTTTGGTTGTAATATGGATTTTTTTAAAATATATTATGCTTTATTTTCCATAATTTTGCTACATGGGTTTCCAGTCTTGCAACCTTCATCAGGCAAAGAGTGGATATTTTCACATATTATTAAAAGGAATTAATTTTTCTTATGTTTTCGATGTTAAATATTCTTGATATTAGAGATTCTCTTTTTGTATGTTATTGATCCAAATGTCTTTGTGGGTGTATGTGTTTGTATGCATGTATCCTAATTCCATTTAATAAGACAGTAGGGCTGCCAGTCATGCCCTCCCCTCCCAGTTGTGTGGTTCAGAGGTAGTATGCACTGGCTCTGATAGTATATATATGAATATTTGTTTAGCATATCTATCTATCTATCTAATATATATATATATATATATATACATATATATATATATATATGTGTGTGTATCTACTAACATAATAAACAAAGGAAGGAGAAAAATACAAGGCAAATGATTCTAACGAGATATTTGAGTAGATTTAACGGCCTCGATATAATGTTACCTGAAATGATGAATAATTAAAGTTGCAGCTCTCCTGACATGTAAATATTAACATTGCCAGATCATAAGATGCTGATTTCATCAAAGATCTAATGTGAAGCTGTCGAATGTATGGCCCGTGGCATTTGCTACTAGATTAACACATTGACTGCCAGAGGTCAATTACAAATACCAACTTTATAATAGCCAACTTCTATGTGCTGTATCCTTTCAGGACATTTGTGATCATGGCTCTCCACAGTTTCCTGTCTATTGTAGCTTTTAATAACTTTTGTTTTTTGTTATCTCTCCTAAACCTTGCTCTGCTATCTATTTACTCAAGCTTGCTAGGTTTTTCATTGTTTTCCTCTTTCCCTCTTGCTTTCAATATATCCTGTGAGTATCAAATTTTCCAAACAGCTTCAAAATATGCTGTTGAATGTAGATTTCGCATGAGTAAAAAAATTATGGAATTTTTTTTTTTATTATATAAGAAATAAGGATTACAATCAAATATATTGATATAGGTATACAGCATAGGTTCCCATCCCTATTTCTCAACGTAACACCACCTATTCCAGAGGCAGTGTTCCACCTATGAAAGAGGGCATGTATCCCAGCTTCATAAAATGAAACTGGATGCAATTCCCTAAAGCAGTTTTCATTTCTTAGTCACCATCATAATTAAGTTGTTAAATGGTTCCCTCAAAGAGAAAGAAACAAAACAAAAAAAGAAAGTAACCACTCTAAAAACAGATGTTTATAACCAAGTCTGGATTAAGTTAGTGCCTAAAATTAAAACAACTATACACATATATTAAATCACAAATTATTTATTAGCTTATAAAATAAGTAAATATTTAAACCTTTATCAAAATAAGTAGAGTCAGAAAAATATGAGGCAAATGATTCTAACAAGACATTTGAGTAGATTTAACAGATTTGATAAAATGTTAACTGACATGATGAATATTTAAAGATGCAGTTTCCCTGACATGTAAACACCTGCCTAATTTCATTCACAAAGCTTGGCTCAGCCCATGGCAAAAGATACTGGGATCATCTCCACCATATTATCAAGAAGTCACCACCTTGACATTTTGACCATAGTGAGATTTGAACCCAAGACTCATGGTCAGAACTCTAATGTACTAACCACTAGGCTATGCTTCCATGGTATAATAATACACTTTATAAAACAGATATATATTTTTAACTTTTATCAATGTAATAAACAAACCCATGAAAATATGAGGCAGATGATCCTAAGGAAATATTTCAATAGATTTACCGTCCTTGATAGAAGTGTGGGGATAAAAAAATCCTATTATCTCCCTTTTGTTGAGATAAAGTCATGATGGTCATGAGAAAGATGGTGAGCAATGTCAGGGGATAGAGTGGTGAAGTGCAGTTGTGATGTAAAGTCCAGAGAAGGGCATACCTAGGCCACAGTGGTAGGTCTTAGAGGAAAAAACCACATGGCCTTACCAGATTCATAGAAAAACCACTGTATCTCCATTTAATTATTCATCATTTCAGGTAACATTCTATCAAGGCCATTAAATCTACTCAAATATACATTAGAATGATTTGCCTTATATTTTTCTTGTTTGTTTATTGTGTTAATAGAAGTTTAAATATTTACCTATTTTATAAGCTTTATCACACACACACATACATACAAACAGGCACACTCACATATATATATATATATATATATATTTCCTTTGAGAAATATTATAAGTAAGGCTTCCCATTTTTTTTCACACTGCTTGTTGTTGTATACATGTCATAACTTCTCTGTGTGAGGCAAATGCATATTTTTATATATAAATATATGTACAACTAACCATCATCAAACTCTCTCAGAGAAAAAATCATGTTTGTCATTTCTTTTTCTTACAGCTATTCCATTCCATACATGAAATACGGTGTTATTATATCTTGGATATAATGCCAATAATGGGGGAACTCAAATGGGAGAATAAATCTTTCTTCCATAGCACACCAACTAGAATGTTACCTGAAGTAAAGGAATAATTAAAGTTGCAGCTACGTTGACATAAAAAGCATTAGTATTGCCTGATCATAAGATGCTGACTTTACCAGATAGTTTCAAAGTATTTAATGTTAGGCTATCAAATGTACTGTCTATAATATCAAGGTGAGTCCAAAACCAATGTTTTATTATATAAGAAATAAGAAACACAATGAAAAACCATACAGCTATACATCACAGGTTCACACCCCTATTTCTCAACATAGTCACCACCTCTTTCAATGACATTGTTCCACCTACAAATGAGGACATGTATCCTAGCTTCATAAAATCAAGCTGGATGCTGATGTAGCCAATTCTTTACAGCAGTTTTCATTTCTTCATCCCCATCATAACATTTGCCTATCAGTACTTTCATTGAACCAAAGAGATAGATGTCTGAGGGTGCTATGTCGGCATAAGATAAAACTTAGTTAACACAAGTTGGCAGTCAATATGTTAATCAGGCACTGAAAGATGCACACATATATACACAAACAATGATTGTTTCTTTATTAGGTGGAAAATATGTGAAAGTCTTTACCTATTGAAGAATAAATATTAGACGCTGATATTGATATTCATAACCTAGTGCACAAATGAAGAAGAGCTACAGAAATATGGTTCTACAGAAGGATGCTGGGAATAACATGGACTGAACATGTGAGCAGCAACAAAGTTTCAGAGAAAATGGAAAGAAAAAGGATATTTATACTTAACATCATAAAGAGATAGCTGAAATTTCTAAGGTATATAATGAGGAAAGAGGGCTTGGAAAATTTGATACTTACAGGATAGACTGAAAGCAAGAGAGAAAGAGGAAAACAATGCATAACCTACCTAATGAGCTTGAGTAAATGAATGGCAGAGCAAGGTTTAGGAGAGATAACAAAAAGACAAAATTTATTGAGTTACAATAAGCAGAAAATTGTGGAGAGTCATGATCACCAATGTCCTGAAGGGACATGGCACATAGAAAAATCAGAATCAGAGATGGATTAAGCTTTAGTGCCCTAAATTTAAGAATACACATAAACACTAAATCATTTACTAGCATTATGATAATAGTTGCATAGTAATATAGCCAACATCCATTTATCTCATAAGATAATGGATAAAGGACTAGTGCCCAGTTTGGTCAAAATTTGGTTATTTTTGACTAGCATCCAAAGCGGATTAACAGACCAATCTTTGCAAGGCACTCTCTTCTGCAGGTGTGGCAGAAGAAGCTGGAATGTAGAATGAAGGTCTGAACTTTCTCTCACTGCTTCCTTCATTGGCTTTTGAACTCCAACTGTTGTTTACACTTTTTCTTGCCATTCTTGACTCATTCTTGAAGAGCATGGCGCCAGTGTCTGCGATGATCTGCTAGCTGTTTCCAACTACCAGAGTCGATACCTGTGAGTTTCATGTATCGCTGGCATATATGCAAGGTGGCCTACTGGATGGTGTCACATGGCCAGCTAACTGTACATGATGTCTTTTGGTATACAGTCATCATGCCTTTGATGTTCATAACCAAGGCATTGAAGGCATTGACAGAAGAGAAGACACATACACCAGGAGTCTGCTTGCTCCAGCAGGACAGTGTTGATAACATTGTCTCTCCCTGTGATGCCGAGGGATATGTCGTAGGCAGTGGAGATCCAGGTGGTTTTCATTGTGATAGATATTACAAAATAAATAAATAATTGAACCACTATCAACATAATGAACAAAACCAGAAAAAAACCTTCAGGCACAGGATAAAACTTAGTCTCCACATACTGGGATCATCGCCCTCCACCAATATTGTCAAGAAGTCAACTCCTTCACATATTGAGAATCAAACTCAAGACTCATGATCAGAACTCTAATGGTTGAAACCAATAGGCCATGCACCCACAGCAAAACGATAGAGTTTATAAAACAGATATATATTTTGAACTTCTATCAACATAATAAAGAAAATCAAAAAAATATAAGGCAAATGAGTTTAACAAGATATTTGAATAGATTTAATGGCCTCGGTAGAATGTTACCTGAAATGATGAATAAGTAAAGGTTCAGCTCCCCGACATGCAAACATTTGACAGATTTTAAGATGCTGATTTCACTAGACAGTTGTAAAATACAGGGCATGTAGCATTTGTTACTTTTGCTACAAGGTTAATCTTTCATTTGTTTTGGCATTCGCGATATATATTGAAAATCTGGGAGAAAAGTGATTTTCAGGGGCCAGACATTAACGAGAGCATTACTGACAGAATAGGGCTATTATATATAAACTAGAAATAACTTGAAAATTTTACGGTTTTCCTATTTGAATTTTCTCATGTATCTTAATTCTTAAATTAACGATTGAATCAATTCATGACAAGTTCTAGAACAGCAAAATAACAATAGAAATTCCCCTATCACATCGATAAATATTTGAGCATAACAACTTTAATAAAATGTTGCAATAACAATCATAAATAAATGTGAATGCTAGTTTTTATTTTAAGAAGTAAGGGGATACAAATGAAAAGATCTGAAATGGCAACTTTTCCTTTTCACTGAAACAGGCGTTAAACACTTCTATCTTCTTTCATTTTCTCACTGAAACTGATGTAGCATCTCTGATATGTCTTTTCCATTCTTCTATATGAGCAAAACAGAATAATCCATTATTTAATTAATTTGTCCCAAGCAATGGGACAATGCAACTAAGATGCAAGAGGCTACTGGGTGTGAAAGAGAATGAAAAGATTTTAAAAAGAACTGGAAACACAATCCTAAACAGGGAATAAGGGATAAAACCCTACTCTTGTTCAAAAGACAGAGGAAGAGCTTCCTTGTGAGTAATGGATTATTTTCCACCCTACAACACCTTTCCTACAGATGGAACATTGCAAGACTCTTGAAACACTAGTTCTGTGGAAAGTGTTCAGATGAACTACTTGCCTTTGTTACAGCTCAAAACTTCACGGCTCAGACCTGCTATGTTATGCACATTTTACTGAACAACCCTTATTCCTTTCGTATTCCATTGGTGAAATGTAAGTTCCACAAGAGTGGCTTCTTGCCACAAACTGCTAATTTTTGGAACTGACCCCCAAGAGGATGCTTTCCTGATCACTACAATCTTAACCTGTTCAAGTCTCCTCCTTTCTAGTCTTTTCTCCTCCTTCATGTCTGTCCCTATTATTCTTCTCCTTTCTTGTCTTTTCACCTCCTCCTCATATGTTCTTATAATTCTCCACCTTTCTTGTCTCTTCTCCACCTCCTTATCTCTTTTTATTATTCTCTTCTTTTCTTGTTTTTTCTCTTTCTCCTCATGTGTACTTATTATTCCCCTCCTATCTTGTCTTTTCTCCTCCTCCTCGTCTGTTTTTATTATTCTCCTCCTTTTTTGTCTTTTCTCCTCCTCCTCATCTGTTTTTATTATTCTCCTCCTTTTTTGTCTTTTCTCCTCCTCCTCATCTGTTTTTATTATTCTCCTCCTTTTTTGTCTTTTCTCCTCCTCCTCGTCTGTTTTTATTATTCTCCTCCTTTTTTGTCTTTTCTCCTCCTCCTCATCTGTTTTTATTATTCTCCTCCTTTTTTGTCTTTTCTCCTCCTCCTCATCTGTTTTTATTATTCTCCTCCTTTTTTCTTTTTTCCTCATCTGTTTTATTATTCTCCACCTTCTTTTTTTTTTATTCTCCACCTTTCTTTCTTTTTTTCTCCTCCTTTCCTTTTCTCCTTTTTTTTTCCATTTTCTTTTTCTCTTTGTCTTCTCCATTTTGTTTTTTATCTTCACTTTAATTTCAACTTTTTCTCCTCTTTATCTTCTTCATCTCTTTGTCATCTTTTCTATGTATATTTCTATTTTTTTCTCTTTATCTTCTCCTCTTCTTCTTCTTCTTCTTCTTCTTATCTCTATTGTCTTCTCTTTCTTTGTCTGTTTGTATTCTTTTTCTTTTCTTCTTCTTCTTCTTCTTCTTCTTCTTCTTCTTCAACTCTTTGTGGAAAGTGTTCAGATGAACTACTTTCCTTCATTCCACCAGCTTGAACCTTCACGGCTCAGACCTGCTATGTCACGCATATTTTACTGAACAATCCTTATCCTTTCATATTACATTGGTGAAATGTAAGTTCCACAAGAGTGGCTTCTTCCCACTGCTACTTTGTGGAACTGACTCCCAAGAGGATGCTTTCCTGATCACTACAATCTTAACCTCTTTATGTCTGGGGTTAACCATTATCTTCCCCAAATATCCCCATAAACTGTGATTCTCACTCTTTAACCCTCTACCTTGAGTGGCTCTCGAGCTTTGTAAAAGGTGAATCTTATTGTAAAAAAAATATCTTCTGTTCGAGTTCCAGCATTTTACTTTTCATGTCAGTTATCAACACACTATCATCTGCATGTGTAATGTTGATAAGATTGTAGTCGACAATAATGAATCCTGGTAGAAATTCTAATTCCCTCAGAATCATCTCGCTTTAAAGGTTGAATAAATCTGGCGAGAAGACACATCCTTGTCTTACACCCCTTTCTAATTTTATATATTTACTGAATTCATTTTCTCTCCACAAGCAGTTTCCTCCCAGTCTAAGTTCTGAATAATTCTAATATCCTTCCCAAATATATCACGCTTACCTAACAGATCCAACGTGAATGTTTTATTTATCCCATAGCACTTTCAGATTTCAGTGATACACTTTCCATCTTCTGTTAAAACACTTCCTAGAAATTTAAATGGTTATACTTGTTTAATTTTAGTATCTCTAATTTGTAATTTTCATGTTGGTAATGTTCCTTTTACCATGTATGCTATCTTATTACAACTGATATTTAGTCCTTTCTTCTCATTTTTCTTTCATATCTTCAGTAGGAATTCCTGTATTTTCCTTTCTATGTCTGCTATCAATATTACATATATCCTTGTCTTCCTGAATTTTATTTCCTGATTTAACTTGTCTTTAAAATATTTTTAATTTAATCTTAACTTTGAAATAGCATTTGACTTTAACACTTTTAATCAAATCTTGTAAAATTCACTATCTCTGAATGCATTTGTTTATTTTTCTCTTTTTGTTCTATTTTCCTTTTTTAAATACTCCATTTTTTTTACCTCTTTGTCTTATTGAATCTATATTTTCATATATTGCCTAACTTTTTCTTCCTTACTTTTATTCTTTTTCCTTATCAACCTTAACTTTTCATCTTCCTTTCGGTTTTTCCCTGATTTCTTTTTCTTTTTCTATTCTCCTAATCTTACTTTTCTTTTTCTCCTTTGACTTTTCCTCACTCTTTTCCTTACATTTTAGCTTTTCCTTTTCCTTCTTTATTTTTGTCTTTGTCCTTTTTGTCTTTCTTTTCTTTAAGCTTTTCTTCTCCTTTGTCTTTTTTTTTTCTTCAGCTTCTCTCTATTGATTTTGCTCCTTCTCATCTTTTCTTATTATTCTCCTTTGTTCTTTTCTTTTCTTCTCCTCTTTGTCTGTTTTTATTATTCTCCTCCTTTCTTGTCTTTTCTTCTCCTTCTCCTTTTCACTTTTCTTTTCCATTTTCTTTTTCTTCTACTTTTTGTTGTTCTCCTCTTTGTTCTTTGTCTTCTCCTTATTTTCTTCTTCTTTCCTCTGATATCTTCTCTTTCTTCTTCTGTTTGTCTTCTTTTTTCTCTTTATCTTCATCTCCTTTTCTTCATCTTTTTCTACTTCTATTGTCTTCTTCTTCAACTCTTTGCCATCTTTTTTCTTTGACTTCTCTTCATCTTCTTCTTCTTCTTCTTTTTTCTCGTTGTTGTCGTCCTTTCATTTTCTACTTCTTCTCTTTGTTTTCTTCTTCTTTCTTACTTTTCCTCTTCTTTATCCTCCTCATCTATTTCCTATTCCAATGTTAACACTATTCAATCACCAATATTCCTGAAATGCAAACCACAACAGAACCAAGTCAAGTTAAGTGATTGGCCAGTAAACGAAAAAAAAATTAAAAAAAAACAAAAATGAGTTGAGAAGAAAGGGAAAAAAAATGAAAAAAAAAAGAAAGAAAACGGTAAAAGAACTTAGTTTGATTCCCAGAATTCCCCAAATGCATTTAGACATTTTAATAATGGAAAATACTTTATGGATTTGAATGTTTTGGAGGACATTTTTTGAATAAATTTACTTAGTGCTTCTTTTTTTTCTTATTGTCCATCAATTATATCTATTTATCATCCTATTTTCTTCTATCCATCTCCATTTATATATATATATATATATATATATATATATATATATATACTGTATATTTCCACATATCACCCCTGAAAATTGGGGGCTTCTTATACTAAAGTTCTAAAAAGGAAACCTTAAATTCTGAGTGATGTTTGTTGGTAGGTTAACCTCAGCCTTGGTGCGATAACCAATAACATTCATGAAACGATTTACATTATCAAATAAACTGATAATAAAAGCCATAAAACCATTTCTACCTCATATATTACTGGAATAACTTCATAATAAATTGCCTATTTGAATAATAATTTCATATCAATGAAATCAATTTGTATCCATGCAAACTCAGCTGAAAAAATGTAAACACTGAATCATGATTACATTCACAGCAATGGAATGTAGTATTATTGTACTGTTATTAGTGGTATTTTGTGATTGCCGATGAAGTATAAGTAAATGATCATTAGTACACCAGGCTGCTTGTAATGGTTTAGATATAGGAAAAGAAGAGGAAGAAAAAGAATCATTATTTGTAAGAGATCATGTGATGAAACATGAAAAAAACAATGGTTTCACTTTCAAGAGACATGTATAGGAAAAACATGTATAGAATCAATTTTGCTATTTCATTTATTTTGAATTTCTAAGGATACAGTAAGTAATAACATTTTCAATAACATCTTTATATAATCAATAAGCAGTCATCTTATACTAGAAGTATAGGATAAATTCATGATAATTTATTATATTTTTAACATGTCTTAGCTAAAGGTTGCCTTAGACATGGAAATATATGGTACACATATATATATATATATATATATATATATATATGATATTATGATATAAAATTTTGTATAATTTTATATATCAACAAACTGTATTTAAAAAAATATGAAAACTGGAAAGTTTTTTGCAACACATTTTATTCTAACAATACAGGACAGTGTGTATTGCAGAGTACATGCAAATGACCACTTTAAACAATTCACTTGTGCAGGCTGATCAGTAAAAAGTTATAATTTACTGAGCCCTCATCTATCATAACAGGAAAATCCATCCATATATATATATATATATATATATAAATATGTATGTATGTATATATATATATATATATATATATATATATATATATATATAAATAATATATATAAAATACAAATAAAAATATATATATATATGAAAAAAATATACAGAAAAAAACAAAACAAAATCTTAATATAATGCAATTATGCCGTTTCAATCTATTTTAGACCATCATCAGGACATATTCATAAAACATAATTAACACTAGAACATATTCAAATTCAACACGAAAAAGACGATGAATTTGAATATGTTCTAGTGTTAATTATGTTTTATGAATATGTCCTGATGATGGTCTAAAATAAACCGAAACGTCCTTGATGGTGATACATCTCTATCTATAAAAGGCAGGATGTGTGTGTGTGTGTGTGTGTGTGTGTGTGTGTAACGAATGCATGGCTACAATTTTCAATGGATTTGCACCAACATTTACATGAACATGCTCCAAGTTAGCGAGAAGGCCAAGACCAACTTTGCATTTCCCAACTCCCATTGATAGTGGAAATAATCAATTTTTCATGCTTCTATGGCAGTTTTCATGTAGTTTGTGGCCATTTTGTACTGGCCAGAGTGAGAGCATATAGCTGGCTGCTACAAATAGGCAGGAAGATTCTATTGGTCAGCGTGAGAGCCAACAGTTGACTGACACGAATATCAACTAGCATGTAAAAAAATCAATAGCTGCATTCATCACAAGTGGGAAAAATTTAAATCTGCTTGGCACTTTACTCCAATTGGCTCATTCGCTTGCTTAAACTCAACATTGATTCTGATTCCGCAGAACTGGGTTGGGTGTGAAAAAGTATTTGTTGTTAACATTCTTTTTTCATTCGGTTTTTCCAGTTACGAGTCCTTTTTTAAAGCTGATCATTTTGTGTTCATTTTGTTTAGTTCTTTTTTTGTAACAGATTTAATGTTTAGTATAGAGCTTAAAAATATTCGCAGTGTGAGATAGGCAAGAAGTAAGGTATGTAGCAACATCAGCACGGCAAAGGGCACTCCTTTAAAGGCAAGGAAGAGCAAAAATATTTTAAGTCAAGTGATAGCGATTGTTGTATGAGTCGTACGAATTTTGAATCAAGCACGGGCAACGCGGGGCCATGCTGCTAGTTGTTGATATAATGGAATATGCATACACCTGTGTTCCCCCTCACTGGAATATGATTGACTGGTGTCAGTCATAAATACAGTCGGACGTGTAGGTACGACAGAGTTTAAGTCTATGATGATGCCCATGGGACTACGCGATTGACTATCCTATTGGTCTACACCTATTACCTGCAACTACGACGAGTACCAGTCGATTACTGCTACCGTGTACTACTTGGTTACAGTAACCAAACCCACTTAGCTACTTCGATCAAATATATCCCTTTCCGTGACATATCAATGGTCTACTTCCTGCCTTTTCACACACAGTCTGTTGATATCAGCAGTGTGTATGACCATTAGTTGCCTGATCTATTAGACAGGATAAGAGAAGAAAATTTATAATTACAGTTACTTATAGTTATGTGAATTTGAATTTTTGTTATATTCCGTGCTAATAGGAATTTGGAATGGACAAACACGGTGGATAAATAGTAACAGGTTTATTGTAAAAACCAGAACAACAAGCAAGGAAGTAATAGTTATGTGCACGGATCTTCGCAAGTCAGTACAGTTGTGTGCGTACTGGTATCAGAAGGCCGCTAGTCTTGCAGATCCCAGCTCAACTCTCATGTCTATCCTAATGGATACTTATAGGTGGTTACCATCTAT